GACGGACGGACGGACGGACGGACGGACGGACGGACGGGCCCCGCCGCCAGTCCAGCCCACTCGGTCCGTAATGAGTGTCAGTGTGCGTGTCGCTCTGTCTTCCGGTGTCATTTAATGTGCAAGTTAGGACTTAAAAGCCCACTCAATGACTACTTATAGCAGCCACATTTTTGTTTCCTTCGCTTCTATTAACCTTACATAATCGCCTGTCCTGCCACTGGAACCTGGCACAGTGACAGACAGCCCTCTCTGGCAGTTGCTCCGCCGCTCTGCCCGCCGCTCCCGTTGGGCGCCGCTCTGTCCGTCCGTCGGTCCCTGAGTGGTTCGTGACGGGCGCCGATACGGGGCCGTCGGCTGCCGCTGCCGCTCGTCTCCCGACGATAACAGGCCGGCCGCGGTACCAATGACCCGTCGCTGACCCCGCCCGGTATACCGAGCCGGACCGGGCCGGACCGGACGCCGGCCCGCGTGCAATGCCGCGCTAAACGACTGGCATCGCTCGTAAACGTGCCGCCGCTGTCGCGTCGTGCACGACTCGGCGGCGTCACCAATCAGGCGGGCAGTTGGGGTGATACGGCGAGGTACGGGTGCGGCGGCTACCGGCCGCGGGCCGGACGTGCCGGCGACGGTGCAGTGATGGCCGTCCCGTACCGTGTCCAATGCTGCTGGCGTGCCCGGCGAGACTGCGGCGTCTGGGCAGTGGCACCGCGGGCCGTTCATGGTGACCGCAGAAGTTAGTGCGGACGGTAGCGCGGATCGTGTTACCGGGAAGATTGGTGTGTCGGCGCTCGGTCGTTCAGCAACCTGCCCTGATTGGTTAGGCGGTGTGGTGAGGTGGCGCTGGAAGTTATATGGTAAGATGCATTTTCAAGTATTCTGAGTAAGCGGCGGGCAGTTAGGCTGGATTGGTTTGCGGGGTAAATGCCACCGAATATCTGGTGCATTATCACCGCGCGTGAAGTTCCCAGCCGTTACAATGGCTAGTAAAGCACCCTCGTTGAGTATATCCGCGTAGCGATAGCGCCCATCGCCGGCGTGGCTCTCGGCCCGGCCATTTGTCAGCTCGTGATGACCGGTCATCAGAGCGGTAATGGTCACCCTGCCGGTCATTGCCGAGCTTCCGGTGTTCCTCGGCGCCTCGTCCGTCACGCCTGTTTAGTTTTGAGATTGCTGCAGTTGGCTGGAGTTGTTGGGTCACCGCTCGGTCAGCGGTCGGTCATCGTTTGGTCAGCGGTCGGTCAGCGGTCCGTCAGCGGTCGGTCAGCGGTCGGTCAGCGGCTCCAGCGGCTCACACGATGTCCGTATCACCACGCGGCGCGCGGCGGCGGCAGCTCGCACGCGGATGCGGCTGCCACCCGCACCTCTCCCCGCCGAGTCGCCACCTCCGCCGCCCCCGCTCGCCTGACCTAGTGAGCCGAGCAGTTAGTAGCGGCCGGCACGCAGGCGACCTCTTTTCTCCGGCTCCAGCTGGATTGTAAATCACGGTCGTGCAACAAGGGCCGGCGCGGCGCGGCGCATCGCAGCTGCTCGTGTCGGCGCCGCGCCTGCCCCGCCCCGCCCGGCGCCGTTCACAGGCGGCTCACGACCTCTCTGAGGTACTCAGGGCGGCCACATCCGGCTCGGCGACCTTCCCGCGGGACGGCCATGCGTGCGCGTGTCCGGTCCCGGTTGCGTCACGTCTTGCAGAGCCGCTGTCAGTCTGCAGGCCGGCTGCCTCCCGCTGCGCGCTCTCTCCGCTCTCTATTCGGCCGGTGCGTTACGGCACGCTCAGCTGAACCGGAAACGCGCCGATCGGGGCCGTCCGGCGGCGGACGGGGACCGGCGCGCTGGGCGGAGGGCGGCGCCGGGTGTGAGGAGCCCGCCGGGGGTCCGCTCACCGTGACATCGCCGCCGCGTGCGTTGCCGGCGGGTCCGGACTGCGTGCCGCTGACGGACGGCGGCCCCCGCTGGCGGCGGTGCCCGCCCGACCGGCCGGTCGTGACTGGACTGACCCGGAGCGGCGCAGCTGGGTCAGACGCTGCGTGCCGGGAGGAGCCGGTGGGCCGCCGGGAGGCGGGAGACGTCACGACCGGCCGGCGTGAGTTGTGGGCCGGCCGACCTCCTTCTGGCGCCGTCAGCGGGTCCGTGAGAGGCGCGCCGCCCGCCCAACCGGGGTACATCAGCCGGGGTTTGAGTAATGGAGCGTCGCACCCCCCCCCGGGAGACTCAGTGAGCGCTCTGCGGTACTGTGGACAGCTCTGATGACCCAACTCCTGCCAGACACCAGCAGCGGCCGGCTCCGGACCGAATTATCGGAGGAATGTCCAGCTGTGGGCTCCGTGGCGCGTCTCGTGACTCGGGGCAGCTCCAGCTGTGGCTCGGCTGTGAGTCTCGTGACTCGGGGCGGCCGGCGCGTGCCGGTACCGGGCTGGATGGCGTCACGGGACTGACTGCCGCTGCTGGATGGCGCGCTGACCGTGACGGCTCGGCCGGACTGCTGCCGCCCGTCGGAAAGATGCAGTTGAAGCGTTTCGTTTGATACGGTCCGCCCCTCAGAGCCGACTCAGTTGTGACTGGAAGGGTGCCGTTTTCATTACGGCTGCTGCTCTGCTGACGTCGGTCCGACCTTGGTTAGGGAATTTATATAGCTACAGGTGACATGCCTGATAAATAGCCCTCAAAGGTTATTCGCGACGACTTGGACTCCTTCGCTCTGGCAAAGCGGTTGATTTTGCTGAAAAATGGTAGAACAAACACTGTAATTGCTCAATGTTTAGCAGAACCACCTAACCGTTTTCACAAGGATTGCATTGGCCATTGTTATTCGGTACCATTTTGTGCATTGTGCTTTGCACGTATTTTAAAATTCCGTGGGCACGCTATTTACTCCGCATTGAGTCATTGTGGTCGCTCAGCATTCCGACGGGACTTTTCTGTGCTTTGTTCACTCAGAAAGCTGACACAGTTTCGCTCTCGGACGCGGAGCGCCATTAGCAGTGGGCGGCCTTGTCTGCCCCTGTTTGGTGCCATGGGAGCGGCGGAGTTTTACGGCATCTGTCGGGGTGCGGGCGTCTGCACGGCGACCGCCGTCCCACGGAGGGCAGCGGGCCGTTCCCACGCCGCCCTCTATCTCCACCGTCCGCCGGCGCGTCCCGACGACCGCATCTTTTCCTCGGCGTCCTGCAGTCAGCTCGGCTCGCCCAGAAGTGGTCTGTTCTCTGCGCTGGACTTATCCGGGCTTCACGACTGGCCTGGGCCGCACCTGCAGGCTGTCTGTGCCCGCCGCCCCCGCCCCCGCCGCGGCTGCATCCGCGCCCGTTCCGGGGCCGCCCGCGCCAGAGCCGCCGCCCTGAGTCGGCGCTGCTCCGGTTCAGTCTCGGCGGTGTGACCGTGCTCCCACACTGCTCCCAGACCCAGTGAATGGACAATTGAAACGCTTTGTCCAGCGGCGCTGCTGTTTCCCGGTGTACGGCCGTTCTCGGCCGGTGCCATTACCGCCCGACGCCGCGCTCACACGGTCTCTGCGCCGGGCACACCGCGGAGCCGTTTTTGGGCCCGGCGCGGCGGCTTTCCGGGCCTGGGAGCGGTCAGCGCCGCACAGCAGCGCCTTCCGCTGCCCCGCCGGTCCATTGGTCGCTGCGCTGGAGCTGAGCCGACCCGTACTGAGTCGGAGCTGAGCTGCGGAGCTGAGCGCTGAGCTCGGCACAGCAGCGTCTCGGCTCTCCCCGGCACCGCCGCCCTCGCACTGCCCACGGCCGTTTTTGTTCTCCCGCACTGAGAACCACGAGATTTTCCGCTCTCCCAGGCGATTGGCCACAGGCGCTGTTCAGGTGGCGTCTCAATTTTCGGCTGTCCCGGCGGTGACCGTCCGCTCTCAGCCTCCTCCTGTGCGCGCGGCTGGCTACCGAGCCGTCCAGCCGACCGATCGGCCGCTGCGGCGCGCGTCCGCGGACGATGGAAAACAATCAGAGGCCGTCTCTCGTCTGTCGGTCGGGAGTTGGGTTTCAATTTAGCTGCAGCCGGACCGCACAGGAGGCTAGCTGCGTCCCTCCTCTATGATGGATCACCGCCCGGCTCCCGCGGAGAGCAGCCCACAAACAGTGGACACCGCCGGCCGCCGGACCTCGCGGCATTTATCACCGAGCCGCCCGTCAATGATTCGATTTGCCAGTGCCATTAATAACGCAGCCGGACGCAGCGCGGCGCTTATTAGGGAATTAAAGGTCGCCGGGACGAGTGGACGGGAAATCAGCCGAGCCACTGTGTAATAGCCGGCGGCGGTTTGGTCGGTGCTGCACCGACACTGTTGATGGAGACGACGGGTAGCTCATTTGGTGGTCAGCCGGGCGGTGGCCGTGACTGGCCGGCGGGGGTGGGCCGCCGTGCCCCCGGGCGGCCCCGCCGACAATGGGGAGGTATTGGAGCGGGGCGGGGAGCGGGGCCGCCCGCCGCCCCCAGCGGGGGTCGCTGTGTTACCTTAGGCCGCCCCAGCCAGATGGGATCCGTCGGCGCCGCTGAAAACAAGCACAGAGTGTGTTTATTCGCCGGGCCCGGATTCAGAGTGGCTGGGCAATTCCTGAAAGTCGTCCGTCCCGCCGCTCCTAAGAGCTCGCCTCGCCCCCTGTCGTGTCTGTTTGGCCCGCGCCTGTGTTTCTGTTTGAGAAACTATTCAGGTGGTGGCGTTGCAGGGGTCAGGACGTCCCCGCTGCCAGGAAGAGATGGTTTTAAATGGTTCTCACTAAATCTGTTTCCTCGCTCGGACAAAAATACCAGCTCTCTGGTTCGACCGTATTTATTTTGGAACAACTCTGCGGGAGAGGTGCCCGTCCTCAGCAGCGCCGCCTACTGGCAGTTTCGAGAAACTGTAGTAGGGGGCGCTCACATCGCGCGCTACACCGTATCTTCGTTACGATCAAAGCGTTGCCTGTGCACTGTGCAGTGACATGCCGTCGCTGAACGCTTACTGTGTGTCGTTGTTGGACCGGATGTTTTTACTGCACGGTTTCGGTGTGTCGTTTCAGATCACGGAGCTGCCCGGCTCCGACTCGGTCTGCTCGTCCCTGCCGGCGGTGCCGACGGTCGACGGCGACCACTCCAGGTGAGTTGACACGGGCTCCTCCGGGGGGCAGAGGGGGAGGGGAGGGGTCACGGTGACCTCTGGCTCCCGAGCCGGCTGGTGCACGTCGTGCCGAGAATGCGTGGCACGCCGCCAGGCGGAAACACAGACTTCCTGCGGCGGCCCGTGACTGGTGCCGGGCCGTGTGTCGGCAGTGAACAGCGCCCACCTGGATCTGATTATACCACCGCCGCCGCCGGCTCATGAGAGACAGAGAGCCGCCGGGCCACTCTGGCGGCGGTCTGACAGCCAGCCAGCGCCACCCGCGACCCGGCAGTAGCGCGCCCTCCAACAAAAACACGACAGCAGCGCGGCCGGTCCTGTCCGGCGCCGTGAAAATAGAGACAGCTGAAATAAATCCGACCGCCGGGCAACAATAGGCGGCGCTGACACTGTTTTAGTGGGACTGTTCTGGTCCGTGTCGCCGCCGCCGTGTAGCCTACTTCTGATCCGGCCCGGAATTAAACGGCTGTGTATTAGCGGGCCGACTGGGGCCCGGGTACCCGCGATTGGGCCGATCCGGGAGGCGGCGGCAGTTTAAAGCCGGCGGACCCTCGGATCTGTCTCGTGGAGGCGCTCCTGCCTATTGTTCCCCAGCCGGCTGATAAATGCCGTCTGCTGTGTCTGACCCGAATCCACGTAAAAGGTGAGCCAAACAGAGTGGAAACATCCGACCGGCGGAGAGGAGGGGGGAGAGGTGGGGAGGAGAGGCCGGTGGCGGTCGTCTCCGCGGCGGGTCGCCCCGTCCCGCCGCCACCCTCCGCCGCGCCGGCCACGCCGTGCTCCTAATTGCGCGGTGCTTTTGTTGTGGTCGGCCGTCGAGCGGCGCCGTGAAAAACGCGGAATTTCTCATTAGACGTCCTTGGCTCAGCCTCCGCGCGTGCGTTCGGCCCCCGCTCGGCCACGTTGCGTGCGAAGGAGCAGGCAGGAGTGCAGGGACACGGCGCTCGTAAAAAGGCCAGTGCGCGCGACACTGTGCCGTCTGGGCCATTAGACTCATTATGCGATCATGAGTCGACTTTCACCCCTTTTGTTGGCGGTCGGCGGCCGGCGGGGTACATTGTCTGCCGCCAGTGTTTTGGCCGCCGGCCGGAGCGGGGTCGTGTTCATTTTGTCGTTAGCGCCGTCATAATAGGTATAGTTAGCGGCGCTGCGGCGACCACCCGCCGATGGGACGCCGCCAGCTCCTCACACCCTAATGGATCTGTTTGGGGTAAATTGTCCCCCTGACGCGCTCGCTGTTGGTTTTCGGACGTTGACGGGGTGTTTTGGGCCTGTGATCGGCTCCAGATCGTTCCCAGGCGTGTCGCGCCCGGCGCCGGACGGCACGGAGCGCACACTGGCACGCCAGATGCCCCGATAACGCACAGGGGCATTCCGGGACACACATATCGTCCGTCCGGTCCCGGCGCGCCGCTCTAATTGTGGGACGCGGGCTGCTGGGGATCGCAGGGGCGCCGCATGACGCCGAAGTCGTCCGACCATGTAAATGGTTTGGTCCTCCCCCTGGGGGACTGGTCCTGCGGAGCCGCGTCGGACCGCGGGTGATGGGTGGTGGGAGCTGGGAGCACGCCCGCCTGGGCTGGGGCTGCCTCCGGAGCTCACCGCTCTCTGCCCGAGCCGGGAGCCTCCTCCGAGCTCTGCGCTCGCCACCCTGCCGGCGCCTCCGTCCTACCCCAGCTCCTCCGGCCGAACAAAGACGGCGAGCGCATGCATTGCGCACCACCCGGCCGGAGAAAGGGGCTTTTTGCACGCGCTGTGTCTCACCTATTGACAAAGGCAGCTGAGAAGGCCGCGCGCCGCTCTGCTGGAATGCGACCCGGTCCGGCCCGGCCCGGTGCCGGGTGCAGAAACAGGAAGCGCCAGGCAGGCGGTACGGCAGCGAAGGGCCGGCGGCGCCGACTCTCATTACTCGGATAGGCGCCGGACCCTGCCGCGGTCAGCACCTGCCCCCCTGTTCACGGCACATCAGCAGACATGAATTTTCATCGCCCGAGTAATCAGCCGGACGCGGCTCGGGACGGATGCTCTCTCATTTTATCACATCATACTGATGAGCTGAGCGGCTGGGCGGCGCAATTTTTCGGGTGATTACGACCCTCCGGTGCGCGCCGGCCGTATTTCGGGGCTGGTAATGGTCGGGGCACGGGCCGGCGGCAGGGGACGACACCTGGACGGCAGCTGGGAGGGTGCCGGGGGGACGGGGAGCGTGTGCCGCTGCCGGCCGCCACCTGCTCCCCGGCTCCCCGGCTGGCGGCGCCACGGGCCGGCCGGCCGGCCGCCGGGCGGCGCCACCGTCTCCTGAGGGGCAAGGTCGTCCAGCGCCGGCCGGTGCCGCTGCCAGGTGTCCGGTGACGGTCCCGGCAGCGGGCGCGTGCCTCCACTCGCTGTGTGCGCCGGCTCGGGGCAGTATTTCGGGCGCTGCTGTCGCGGGTACCCGGTGAAGAGGCGGAGGAGTGTGGAGTGGAGTTAGCTGGTCGGAGGAGCCCTCTGCGCGGCTGGTTGGACCGTCATACAGCTGGGACTCGCCGCTGGGAGGTGCCCCGAGCAGGAGACAGCGCCGCGGCAGCTGGGGATGGAACTGGTGCGCTCCCGGACCGGAATGGAGCGCTGTGACTGCATGTGTTGTATCCGGTGAGTGGCGGGCGCCGAGTCCCTGCAGTAATGGCGCGGTGGCTTACCGAGGCTGCCGGCCGATAGCGTGCAGTGGCGGGGCGGTACCGGGCTGAGCCTGCCAATAGGCCCGGCGTGCTGACCCTGAACCGTGCCCTGCTGGGCGGACCGGGTCCGTTCAGGCTGTGGCGGGGTGCCGTCAGACGGGCACTGCTTTCATGTGGTGGACGGAGAGGTGTTTTCCTGGCACATTACCGGCTGGTATGTGTGCATTAGGATGGAATGCCAGAGGAGCGGGCCTGGTCTGATTGCTTGATCCGGAAGATTGTTTCGCCTGACTGCGGCTGGGGTGGGCCGGACGGACCGAGACAGCATTCCTGGGGCTTCATTCATCATGGAGGCTGAAAAAACTGTTCATTACAGCGAGTGAAAGTAACTAATCCTGCTCTGTGTACTTAACCTTCAACACCGCTTATCTTACTTTTGCAAGTAGACCGTATCTCAGCCCCGCGGTGGAACACTGGCCGTCGGCGGAAGTGGCCGTCACAGCACAAAGGCTGACGGCGCACCACGGCCGGGATTTCAGGGGAAACATTCCTGCGGACCGGCCGGCGGCACTGACGTGGCCTTTGAGTCGCAGTCCGGACGGACAAGTTCGTCACTGGACGATATTCCTGCCTGTCACACCCGCAGTATGTTGTGTGAATAATGCTCTGACTGTCCGGCGGCCGTCCGGTGTGTGTGAGCGCTAGAGTCGGTGGTCTGACTCTGACAGTCGCACTGGGCCCATCTCCCCGCTTTGTGATGCGGTGTCACAGGCCGTGACGCCGGGTCACGACCCCGGCGGACAGCGCCCGAGTCTCAGACCGTTCCCCCACTCCTGTCAGTCACATCGGTCACATCAGTGTCGGTGTGATATAACCGGGTCATGGTACGTCTCCCCGCACCCCTGTCACAGTCCCATCGGTCACATCAGTGTCTATTTAACATGGCTCGGGTCATGGTCCGATTCCCTTCACTCCTGTCACAGTCACATCGGTCACATCAGTGTCTGTGTGATATAACCCGAGTCATGGTCCGCCTCCTGCACCCCTGTCACAGTCACATCAGTCACATCAGTGACCGCATGATATAACCCGGGTCACAGTATGTTTCCCTCGCCCCTATCACACCGTCACATCGGCCACATCAGTGACGATGTAACATGGCCTGAGTCACGGTCCGTTCCCCTCGTCATTGCCACATCAGTTAGCATCTTCTGATGAGATGCCAACCGGACACGGGCAGACCGGAAGGCAGTGACCGGACTGACAGGAAAGCTGCACCCATGACTCAGCGGTGAGCGCTCAAAGCTCCGCACTCGCAACCGTGTCACTCCTCACGAGGCACTCAGCGGGGAGATGCGATATTCAGGGTCGCAACTTCCGCGAACCGCTGTGCCCCGAGCCGCTGGCTCCCAGGCGCCGCGTGGCCGCCGCAGTTTCTGTTGGCACTCAGCGTGGAGTCGTTGATCTCGCGTTGTGCAGCCTGCCAGCGGGTGTCAGCTCATCGCGCCACAAACTGCGTCCCGATGACGTCACTACCCTGGCCATGACCGCAGCGGCTCGCACGTTCGGCCGAAATAGCCTCAGGCGGACCGGCCGGCCAACCTGGGCGTGTCTTGCCTCCCCCGCCGGAGTCCGCTATCACAACTCACGACTGCCGGTCTCGGTCACGGGCTGAGGGCTGCAGATATGTCGGACCATGCACGGTTCCACCGCAACAGTACAATATCAGTCGATCGGTACAATCAGGGCTGTAATCTCAACTTAGTCTGACGAGGGGTAAAGTCAGCGGACCGGAAGTCGGGGTCGCGACAACCTATAACCCAGAGGTGGTCCCCAGACCTCGCCGGAATGCGCCTGGCTCACCCAACCGCGAGGTCAACCCAGCCCGGTCAGCCTAGGACAGTCCCAGCGGCTCTGACCGCGGCACACGACGACAATGAGACTCTGGGGAGTTCATCGCCCGCCGTTGCGCGCACTGAGTGATGTCGTGGCGCGTCTGGAATGCAGCGGCGGGCGTGGCCGCGCGGCGGACCGCACGCGGGCGGCGGTGGGCGGCGGGCTGCCTTTTGTGTCAATGATGTGCCGGAAAGGCTGCCGCCGCCGCCCGGCGGACGGCCCGCTCCTCGGCCGGGGACGGACGGCGGCGGCGCGGACCGGATGCGCCGCACAAAGGGTCGCCGGCCACCGGGCCTCGTTAGCCAGGTGTGGACACCGCCGGGGCGGGCGCCGCTCCAGAGTGCTGGGTGTTTTGGTGGGCGGCTCATGCGGCGCCACCTCACGGTGCGGCAGGTGAAGGGTGAAATCGTGCAAAAACTGACCCGTGTGTGTTTTTGTGTCTGTCACAGCATCCGTGCGTCCAAGGCGAGCCAGCACGTGCGGTCCAGCTCGCGCGATGACCAGCCTCCGGAGCGGCCGCCCAAGAAGCCTCACCTGCGCGCGCTCAGTAGCGGCGCGCTGCCGCCGCCGCCGGCCGACGAGCCGCCCTCGTCGCCCCCCTCCCGGCCGCCCAAGAGCCCCTGCATCCGGAAGCCGGCGCTGCCGGAGCCGGCGCGCAGCGGGTCTCCGGACCTGCCGCCGCCGCCGCCGCCACCCGTGGACGAGTCGCTGACCATCAGCGACGAGCCGCTGCCGCCGCCGCCGCCCTCCATGCTGGAGGTGCAGGTGGCGCCGCACGGGGGAGCCACCGGCGCGGTGCGCTCGCCCTCGTCGGCGCAGAGGGCGCCACCGCTGTCACCGTCCGGCCAGCCAGCGTGAGTACCGACAGGGAACCGAGTACCGACACCGGGTGCTGCGCCGTAAGGGCTCCCGTGCCGACTGTCTCACATGCTAAGTCAATTTCCTCCGCACATGGGGATACTCCTGCGGTTTTAAGCTCTTTTTCTGTTCCATTTTTCTGAGATAACGTGACTAGCTTGCATTTTATGTTTATTGGAGGTGTTTACTTCCGTGATGTTTTTGTGGAATCCCTATAAGACTCACATGTTTTGCAAATTGCATTCCTGTTTGGCAGTGAAGTGGTTTTCAAGCTCACCTTTCCAACCCGGAACACTGTGGTTTCCAGAGGCGCGGACTGACGCTTGGTGTGACCGCGCCTTTTGAGCCGACATGTAACTATTTGGGGCGCGGGCGCTCAGCCCGATAATGCCCGACACGGTCAGCTTTGTTCCTCTGTCCGCCTCTTCCTGGTTCACGTCTCAATTCGTGCCGCCGCCGGCTGGCGTGGGAACCCGCGCGCCGAGCGGCTATTGAGTGCGGTGTGCTGTCTCCGCCCTCCTCTGCCCTCCCCTCGCCTCCCCACCCCTCCCCTCGCCTCCCCCTCCCCGCCTAGCCTCGGTCGGTCGGCGTCGACCGCCCAGCTCCAGCTCCGACGATCTCGGTCGGTCCGGGGTGGCTTTGTGCGCCCCGGCGCCGGGTGAGTTTCTGACGACTAATCCACCAGACGGTGGCGCGGTGTCTCGCGGTCCGGCGCCACGTTTTCCAGGAGCCTATTTGGGGCAGCACAAGTGACAAAGACGGTCGCTGAATGGTGACGGCGAGGTGGTGGGGACGCCAAGGACGGCCGCCGTGCCACATCCACCACCCGGTTGGAGTTGTGTGCGCCGCCCCCGCCCCTGCCCGGCCGGAGCAGCGTGCCGCCCCCGCCCAGTCCACGGTATGTCCAAAGGTGCAGCGTCATGTAGCCCGCGGCGCCGGACGGCTGCGTGTGTGAACAGTTCCGGCCCGCCTCGGCGGTCGGCACTCACGACTGCCCGGACTGAGTGCCGGCCAGTGCTTACCTTCGCTCTGCGGCCTGTGTTTAGCGCCCGGTCGACTCTGCACGCGCCCACTGCGCTTAGAAGCGCGTGAAGGGCGTGATCGGCACGTGCGCCCTCCTATCGGCTGCGTGAGCCCCCATCACGGAGACGCCCTCGATAGTGACTCGGGTTACGGCACGGTCGAGGCCGCTATCGGAGAGCTGTCTTCTCTGAGTGTTGTTTATTAGTTAGCTAAACGGTCCACCAGAGCGCCGGGCGAAGGGCTGTAGAGACATTCACTGGAGACTGCAACGCGCGAGTGTGACAGTATCGGCGACTGCAGGGCGGCACAGGAGGGTAACACCAGGCGGGCGCCGGGCTGCGCAGTGCGTATCGCGCCATTAGCGTTTTATCGGCGAGATTACTCGAGTTTGCCGGGCTATAACCATTCAGTACAGGCCTGATCTATGTCAGATAGGCGGTTTTTAGTGCATTTACGGTGTGCGAAGAGTCTTGTTGCGCTGCATGATTTCTCAATGCGCTTCTTGCACCGGGGTATAGTATCGTGTTGCGGTTCGCCTTAGTGAAGATTGAATCTCTGCATTTCGAGTTATTGCCTTCATCGCAATCCTTTGTTGCTCAAACAGTTCCCGTAGTGTTAAAACGGTGTCGCGCGGATTTCCTTGCGTCTTATTTCGGGATTTAAATCAGCTTACTGTGTAATCGTCGCGGGACGGTTTGTTGTTGGAACCGGACTGGCTCCACTGAGCCTGAGGCTGAGCCACTCGCACGCAACCAATGTCATCGCACTGCGGCGTGCACTGAGCGGGCAAGGCCGCCTCGTTGGAACCGGCAGGCTCCAGTCGGTGCAGTGAAAGCAGCCACTGTCCCGGTCTCAGACAAAGAACGCCACCTGCGGGTGCCATATCTCCGCAATACTAAACATTTTCACGAGGGATCAGCAGGTGACATGAACTCTCTGGGAAAATTGGCGGCGGAGATGTTATCGTTTTAGCAATTTCCTTTGTGTTCTCCCAGTCGCTTGTGTCGCTTTGCACGGCGTCGCGTAAGCTGCTGGCTTAAATACTTACATAGTCACGATCAGGCCTCAGAAAAAAAATAACGATCGGTGATAACGCAAGTTCAAGAACCTCGACGTCAGTGAGTGTTCAGGCTTTAGGTGGGTAGGTATTTCAAGTTAGTCATTTTAACGAGTATAAGACAGTCAATTCAAACGGAATGACTGACCACGGAAAACCGCAGCGTCCTTTAGAGCCGCCGAGCGTTGGTTCCCATGACCGTGACCGGCCGGGCGGGTGCGGTCTGCCGGTCGGTCGGCTCGCTCGACCGTTGTCCTGTCTCTATCCAGCCGTGTCTGTTTCGAGCTCGGTGCTGCGCCGAGCTGGATCGACCGGCCACCGGATGTCCAGCGGCCTGTCTGCCCCCCCCCCCATGGACGCCGCCGTGACGTGCCGCGCCGACCGTTGGCGGTGAGGGACACTCCTCGCTCGTCACGGGCCAAGACGCCGCCGGGTTTGAATGTAAGCCGGCCCGAGTGGCGGTGATCGAGTGTCGTGTCTGAGGGACTCACGGACAGCGGCGTCAGCCGGCGCTCACTGACGGAGGATGACGTCTGCTGATGTCGCTGACGTGGCGACACTGTGGGCAGCCAGGTCAGGTTTCACATCCGACCGAGCGCCGGTGACCCCGTGTCGGCTGCCGCCGCCGCCAGCGTTCGGTCCATTTGCAGCCGCCGTTGCAGCGGGCTCCTAAAACGCCGCTGCCGGCCGGTACTCAGCGCAGCGCGGCGGCCGGTCGCGCGGCTGTGGCGGGCGGCGGGCGGCGGCGCTGCGCTGCGCTGAGGGCCGGCCCCGCTGCCGGCGGCCCGGCCAGCAGTAAGAGCCGTAGACCGTTACTGGAGTCGGTCGGGCCTGGACGACGCGTCGACGGCGGCGGAGCGAGACGCCCCTGGGTCGGACAGTCGGCGGTACAGTGCAGTGGGAGTGACCGTGTCACTGATCATGGAGGGGGTGCGCGTCCCCCTGTCGATTGGAACGCCGCCCAGACGACGCCGCAGGATGACCATGGACAAGATCAAGATGATGGTGCTCCAGTGAGTAGTCGCGCAACCTTTTTCATGTTATTTGTGTAGAAGTGGCCTGGCTGTCAAATTATAGTTCACATAGGCCTGTGTGTATCAGCATGAACACTGAGCCGTCATCTATGTAGAACAGTTTTCTTCGCGATCCTTATGGTTCAGTTGGCAGCGCGCTCGGTAGTGTTCAGTTTCTCCGGACACAGAAGTCGGTTAATATGAACCACATCCCGCTGGAGGGTGGTCTGCAGCCCGGCCGGGCCCGGTACGCCGCCACTCCCCGTGCTGGCGATGCGGGTCGTTCAGTCGGTCGGGGTTCTGGCAGCGGTCCCATGTCCGGCCCGCTCGACCGGCCGGCCGCCGCGGCGGGTCGCCTGCTCCGTGACCTATCGGCCGGCCGCCGCCGCGCCGGTTTCTCCAGTCACGTGTCGGCACGGACCATTTCCGGCCTCTGATGCCTTCGTTCCGCCTTACCGATGCATTGTTCTGAACTGTCAAGGCCGGTCACGTGACTGTTCCGGAGCTGGGCGCTGTGCTGGGTCTGCGGTCACGTGATTGGTTTGGGGGCCGTGACCGCAGTGACGCCAAAATGTGGTTATGATCGAACACAGCCGACCGCCGAAGTGTTCGACAATCGAAACTCTACCGGGATTCGCCTTCCGCTTAATTACCGGGAATTGTTCTGGTCGTGCCGTAGATCGTTCGGCTTCACAGGTCACAGTTCTGTCATTTCCTGTCTGTCTAACTGCCCGTCGTCCTCAATTAGCCATGAGCCTATGCTAGCCCCGCTGTCTGTCACGAACCGCTCTGACTCGTGTTGTCCTTTCCATCGCTCCAGCCTCCCTGGCCTCGCTATATTGCACAACTATAACATTTGCTCCAATGTACACATCGTCTCGAAGCGCCCATGGCTGCCTGGGTCGCCCATGAGACACCTCCAGGACCGCGCGGCGGGCGCTCAGTTTCCCCGGCACGACAGACATCCACGCAGCGTCCTCGCCTGTCATCATACGCTCGGCCGGAGCTTCTGTGACGTGTCCCGATGTGGTGTAACTCGGTGGACAGAGACAGGGTGCGGCACGTCATCGCTGACCTCCCTCCCTCCCTCCCTCCCCCTCCCAACGGCGGGCGGACCGGCGGCGCCCAGAGTTGTGTCATCGGACCGAACCCACCGAGCGCCGCTGGTAATCCTGCCCGGTATACCCGGCCTGGACAGCTCGCCGGTCGGGCCGGTCCGATCATGACTCGGAGCTCGGCCGCGCCGCCCGGCCGGCCGCTCAGGTGCCGAGGTCAACAAACAGACTGGGAACGCAGCCGATGGGCCGCGACGGACGACCTCGCCGCTAGTCGGACGGAGGGCTTCATTTGCCGCCCGTCTGTCATTGCACTTTGGAATACTAATGCGGGCGTCAATGGGGGACCGGAGGCAAACCGTTACGGTAAAGACGGCCATTAGCGCCGCCAGTAGCGGGTGCCGCCGCCGCCCGGCCGTGGTCACGGTCACGGAATTCACTGCGAGTTCACTGCGCTCGGCCGGTGCTCCGCGGTCGGCGGTCGGCGGGCGGCGGGCGGCGGGCGGTGGTCGGGCGGCAGATGTTCCTGGAGTTGTGGTGATGCTGGAATTTGGAGTATGTGGTGGGTTGGTTTGCATCCATGGGTGACTGTGGCCCGGACGGCCGGACCTGGCTGACCTCATGGCTCTGCAGCGGATGTCTCTGGGGTCCTGGTGTCACTCTGTATAAACACCACCCCTTCGGCACGCGCCCGCTATCTGCCCCCGATGCCTGGAATGATGTCACCCCTATCTGCGCCTGCAATCTGCCGTGGCTGGCCCTGTCCGTCGACCAGTCGTCGACGAGCGGTCGTCGTGCTATCGGCACTGCAGCTGGTTTGTTTGGACTCTGTCGCTCTCGGCACGTGCAGGGTGTGGCGGCGCGGCGCGGCGGGACCTCGAGACAGTCCTGCCAAGGGCACGGCGGCCAAATCAGGCACCAGTCTGTCTCCGTGCTGCCCCAGACACAGTTTGTCACCGTCGCCGACAGGGTCGTCTGCCGTCTGCCGTGTGTCGTCTGGAGGTCCCCGTCTCATGTTCCTCTCCGTCCCTCCATGGACAGTCGAGGCTGCCTGCTGTCTGACAGCTCCTCCCCGGCCGGGCCGGCCGCACCTGATCTGACCTCAGTGCGCGTTGCGCCATTGTGGTCGGCCTCCGAGTGCCTCCGCCGCCGGCCGGCTGCTGGAGTCGGCTCGTCAGCCCGGTCCGGTCGGTCCTGTTTGGAACGACCGGCACTCGAACCCCGGGCACTGGCGCGGCGCACTCCCATGGCGTCCTTGTGCCATCGACAGCTGTGACTGAGCTGATGGCGGTCACCGCGGCTGTCGGCGGCGCGAATCGCCACCGGAGGTAGAAGTCACGCCCGCCCGCCGCTGCCATTGTAACGCCGGGCGGCGGCCCTGTGTCGGCCGGAGCTGCTCGGGCTGCGGGCAGATGCCGGGTCACGTTCACTGCTGGCGGACAGCGATTGTGTCCTCCCCGCGCGGCGCTGCGGTGTTGACGGGTTGCGCCACGGGCGGACGGCAGCTCGCCGGGTCCTGGCCTCCGGCTGCGAACGTGACCTGGACCGGCCCCGCCACCGGACGGCGACCTTCGGGTGCGGGCCAACCCGCCGAACGACCGGCGGGCCGGCCGGCCCATCGGAGCCGCCCGCGGACCGGCCCAGCGCCGCCCGGAATGTCACGGAGCGGGCGTTTTTGCCGCGCGGACGGCGGCAATCCGTCGCCGGTCGGCGACTGCACGTCGGCAGGGTGACCTCTGGCAGCCGCACCGCCCTCCTGACCGCCGCCCGCCGCGCCGGCCAGATGGCCGCGCATTGTGCCCGCGAGCCTCCCGCCGCGCCGACCTCAGAGCCCTGCACGGCGACCGCGGCGCATTGAGACAAATGTGCCGCTCGTTGGGCTGTTGTCGCGGCGATGGCGGCGTTTTTCAGCGCTGACAGCGGCGCTGTTGACGCCGGGTTGCTGATTGATGCGTGGGCGGGATGACGCGGCGGTGTGCGCCGCACCTCGTAATCAACCGACTATCTCATTCGCACTTCCCCAGTCCCCTCCCCGCCGCACGTCCCGGCCGCGGTCAACACACACGGTGACATCACGGACCAGTCACCTGATCAATGTAACTGCGATCTGACCTCACCCTTCTCTCCGGCAGGACCTACCACAAGGACTCCTACATGGCGCACCGCCGGGACTGGAAGTTCGGCTACGAGGGCCGCTACCGGCGCACCATGTCGCCGTCTCCACCGGCGCGCGCCGCCGAACCCAGCTCTCCGTCACCTCCGCCGCCGCCGCCTCCCGTGGCTCCGACCCCGGCCATTGGTCGGAGCGTGTCGTACGCGGCTCCGCGCTGTGAGGAGGCGACCACGCCGCGCCTGGAGGCGGCCACCAGCGCCGGACGGCTCACCGAGGGTGGCAGCAAAGGTGAGGAGTGGGCGCCCGACGGGACGGGGAAGGGACGGGAAGGAATGCACAGGACAGGACAGGACATGACATGACAGGCTGGTTGGTTTAGGAGGTCGCTGGACAGGACACGACAGGGCGCCGTGGGACGAGACGGACTGTTTTACTGGGGCAATGGGCGGAGCAGCGGCGAGATGAGGTGTCGGCGGCTGGGGGCGACAATGGCCGCTGTCTTGGGCTCCGGCCCGGAACAGGGGCCGCCCGTGGGCGGAGCTGCCGACGCCGGCAGGTGGTGATCGCTGAGGGTACGCGCAGGTGGCGGACGGACGCGCGTGCTGCTAACCAGCGGCGGTGGGGCGGGGGCGGAGGCAGATGTGGGTCGGGCCGCCCCCACCGGAGACGTCCGGCACCGGACCGCAGCTGCCGGCCGGCCGCTGCACGCGCGTCCATGGGGTGTCGGCGGCCAGCAGGTGGCTCCTGGAGCCGGTGAACCGTCTGCCGCGCCGGCCACTCACGCGTCTGCGGCGGCTCTACGGAACTTGCGGTGATGCCGCGGCCTTCCGGGTCGGAGGCCGTTCGATGCCCGGCCGGCGCTGATCCCTCGGACCGCTCTAACGGAAGGGCGGGCTCCGCGCCGATGCCGTGACTGTCTGAGGAAGTCGGCAGATAAATTGGCCGCCCAGAGCGGGCTGTCCGCTAGGTGAGCCGCCGTGGGAACGGCCGGCCCCCTTTGCCTCCCGCGTGCCAAGCCGCCCGCCGAACCCGTGTCGCTCTGTTCAGTGCCAGATCACCGGGGACTCGGCGCAGGCCGGCCGCCGGGACAGAGCGACCGTTTTCCCGTGCCCTGTCGTGTCTCGTCTTGCACTGCACTCGGCTCTATCTGTCTGACAAAGGTCGAATGGGCACACACACTTGGAGCGCGTGTTCTCGGTGTGGCCGTTTTCCTGTCGGCTCCCTCCGTCGCGTCGGTCGGGGCCGCCGGACGATCGGCCAGGGCTATTATTCTGTAATGGGCGGCGCCGTCACGCCCGGTTAGGAGCGATTGTCTGCGCCGGCACCCCTGACCCAGCCTTGTCTGTATCCCGGTCGGCCGGGACAACCGGTCGGCCGGCGATTAATCACAATCCACAAATTAATCAGTCCGGTCTCAGGGCGCCCGCTTTGCCGCCGGATAATCCTACCGCGTGGTTTAGGATTTCGGCCCTAGTTTTCACCCGTCTTTGTCTCTATTGTGCAAGCGGCACCGTCACGCGGTTTGTTTCCCTTACTCTGCAGGCGCTCGTGTGCACAGGATTAATTTTCTGTAATCAGTATGTCAGTCATTCTGCGATGATATATGGTTCTGCTGTGCGAGACATATAACTCTAAATCCTCGCACATTATCGGGAAAATTGTCATAAAGTAATTGACAGTGGCCACCGTATCTGTAATTGCCCGAGCGTTTCACGTAAAATTTCGATTTAGTTATCGGTCGTGGTCTATTTCGATCGAGCCCTATCTCTCTCTCTCTTGGTATGTGACCGGCGGGACGGTCTCAAAGCGTCCCTGTCCGGTCGGTAGAGCTGACAGTACCAGGCGCCAGGTGTGGTGAGTCGCGGACGGGACCGGGGAGCTCGGGACGGGACCGGCCGCCGCGGCGGACCGGGCGGCCGGGGATGTGGGTCAGACCCACAGAGGGGCGGCCGCTCCCGGCCCGCTCCCGGACCCACTCCGCTCCCGGCCCGGTGTCTACGGTCGCCGCTCACCGCCAGCCGTGCTGCTCCGTCCCCGGGCTGTGTCACTGCAGCTAGTGCGTAACACTCCATCCGGGACCTACCTGTGACGCACTCTCCGCGTCCGTCTGATCTACGGAGCCGGATCGCCCCGGGGGTCCGGACCGCCCCCTCCTCCCCCACCCCTCCCAATGCCGCTGCACGGAGAGTATTCATATTTCATGACGCAACGGCGCCGCTCTGACCACACGGCAGCGTCTGATCTGGGCTGAGGCCAACGCGGGGTCAGTGCGGAGCTACATACAGACCGGCCCAACCCGACCGACCCGAGCGGGGGGCTCAGGGGCGGCCGCCTCACGAAGCGTGAAGCCGTGTCATGGCGGTGGATGGGATTCGGGCGGGGCGTGCCGCGGCCCTTTGTTCGATAGGGAGGTCACGGCTCCGGGCCCCCTCTCGGCGGTCAGCGCGGCCGTGCAGCAGACGCCGCCTGTTGTGCAGCCGGTCAGACGGCCTTGGCGTGGCATCTGTCGCCTCCCAGCGGCTCGTTACGGCCGGCCGCTCGCTCTCATTTGTCATCTGACGCGCCGGTCATCCCCCGGTCCCGCCCAATCGGAGCCGATAGCTGCTCACCCTCCTGCAGCCGTCAGGGTCGCAGGCTGACTTCATCCCGCGAATAAAAACATCCGCCGACCGGACCGCCGAAACGGCACGGCGGCGACTTTTCCCCTTCCGGCGCACGGATTTAATTAGAAAGTCTCACGGCGGCCTGCGTGGCCCACCGGCTGACTGCCTCTGACTGACCACCGACGCGAGGAGACATCACTGGTCCGAAACAGTGCCGCCACCGGCCCGAGACAGCACGGCCGTTGACTGGGGGGGGGGGAGGCGTTCGCTGACGTGCTGACATCACATCACTGCGTCCTCTGGCTTTAATACGCCGCGTGCCTTCAGCCTCGTGTTGTGCCCGTATGCCCGTATGTTGTCGCTCATTGAGCGACGATTCGCTGTCGTCTAGCTGGCGGTTTGATGTGTATCTGTGGGACGCTATCCCAGTCTGACCATGTGTCTGTATGTCTGTCCGCAGTGGCGCGCCAGCCGAGCACCACGGTCGTGTTCACAGACGCCGAGCTGCGGGCGTTCCGCGCGCGCGAGCAGCGCTCCAAAGAGCTGCGCGCCGCCGAGGATAGCGGAGAGGATAAGGAGAACGTCCGAGAGCAGAACGGCGCCGTGGTCGAGCCGGTCAGCCACCCGCGTCGCCAGTACAGCCTGGAGCTGCTCGGCCGGCCGGCCGCCCCCGCCCCCGCCCCCACCCCCGCCGCGGCGACACCCGTCAGCCAGGAGTCGCCGCCGCCGCCGCTGCAGCCGGCACCCACCGCCTACCGGAGTCCCATCGCCGAGGCCAGGAACGAACGGTTCGCCGCCTACAAGAAGTACAGCGAGATCAAGTCGAGCGGCAAGGCGCCGGCGGCTCCGCCCGCGGAGACGGCCGTTCCGGCACTGGTGACGGACTCGTTCCCGGAGTCGGAGCGGACCGAGCTGCCGGAGCCGGCCGCCGCTCCCGCCGGGAGCTCCTCCCGGTCCGTGGAGCCGGTCGAGACGGCGCGGCTGAACGGGGAGCCGGCGCGGCCCTCGTCCCCGTCGGCCCGCCACTCGTCCCCGCCGCAGTCCCCGCCGCGGCCGCCGCGCTCCCAGCCGCCGGCCCAGATCGGCCGCAGGAAACTGCCCGAGGAGATCGAGTGCGAACAGCTGTCCCGGGCGTTCGTCTCACAGGCGCCGGTCGACAACAAACTGCAGAACCTGCTCGGTGAGTGGCGCCGGGCCGCGCGGGTGGGGCAGAGGGGGATGGATGGAGGGAGGGAGAGTGACTGTTAGGTGTCGTGGTGGCATGTTGAGTGTGAACACGAACGTGTCTAGATTTTTACTCCTCTCTGAATACCCACTTTGCCGACAACCACTAGCATTTTATGAAGCCTCCAAAGAATGCATGGCTCATGGGCTATTGATGAACGCGTGTCGCCTGTCGTTTTTGTGGCAGCGCCTCAGTCAGCTTCCGGGACACGGCTGCCGGTTTTTGTCTCATTCTGTCACCGTTGCCGGCACGGACAGGCCGTGCCGAGCGGCCCGGTCGTGCCTGTGGTCCGTGGGCCGATCGGTGGACTCCCTCGCGCCGTCCGCTCACCGTTAGTAGCGACAGCGGGCGTGTCCGACCTTGCAGCCGGCGTCCGTCCGATTAGCGACACGATGTGGACCAGTTTTTGGCCACTCTCTGATTGCCGTCTTTAGACTGCGATAGCGGCGGACGGAGGGGACGTTTTTGCACGCTGCTCGGCCGTCCATTGCTGTGCAGTGTGCAGTGCGTGTTTGCGGAGAGGTTTTTAGCGGCCGGTCGGTGGCACAGCGCTTTGAGTAATGGTGTGCCCCGAAGGCCGCAGATATACACAGAGATAAAGGGCGGAGGAGCACTGGAGACGCTGTGCTGGGGGCGTACCCACCACAGTGGCGGAACACAACACACAGAGCGGCTCATTTGGCGAGCCACGCCCGAGAAAGCCGACGTGAGAAGTGATAAAATGTGATGGTTTCTAATTCAATTCATTAAAGTTTGCAATTGCCAAGCCTTGTGAAAGCGGGCCATGGAAACTGAGTGCCTGCTTTATAATATCTGCAGTCGACCTTCCAGGACCGCAGCGGGTAGGATGTCGGGGCCGTGAAACTGGGCGCGGATGTGCGGCCTCACGTCTCGGGCAGGATGTTGGGCCGGCGGCGGCGGATGCGCCGCGCCGCGATCGTGCCCTGCGCGCCGCGATCGTGCCGCGGCGCGGAGGTCGCGACCTTCTGCCCATCGGCTAATGGCCGGCTGGCGTGACGCCGGCCGGCCGGAGCGGCAGGATCGCGCCGTCCGTCCGGCCGGCCGGCCGCGCCGCCACCGTTTTCTCCGCGTGTTTCTCCGGCCGCACGGCTGACCGGGTCATCACCGACCCGCCGCCGATTCGGCCCGGCCCAGCGGACGGCAAAGGGCTTTCGCTGCAGCGCGCCGGCCGCGCTGACGGCTGTGAAATGGCCGTAACTCGTCCGTGGGCCGTCAACAGAGCGGGAGACGGCGGCCGGACCGTGGGTGGGTGGGCCGCTCCGCCGCTGCCGGCGCGACCTTGGCGATGATCAACGGGTTCCATTATCCGCCGCCGGCCGAGCGGTCATTTGTGCGCCGGCCAGCAGGAAAACAGGAGCACGTCTCTGCGGCCGGTCGCGGCTCTGTGCGCCGCCGTGGCCTCGGCGCAGGCCGCGGGGCGGGGTCGCCGGCCGTGAGCCCCCTCCTACCGGTCACGTCCCACTGAGATAGGCGCCGGCGGCCGCGGCACGCAGACGCGCCGACACGCACCTCTGCCCGGCCCGGCCGGGCGGCGAGGTCGCACCGCCGGACCTAGACGGCATCCGGGCAGAGCGGTGGGATCCTTCCCTTCACGGAGGTGGGGGTTAGGTGGGACAACACATGGAGATGAGGGGTATCCCCGACGCAGAGGTGGGGTCAGCCCGAGCGTTCTCTCCGTGATCGTCCGAAGACACGTGACGCTGACATCTCGGGTAGCTCGCCAGCTGCGCGATCTGTTCGGATCTGAGGGAGGGAGAAGTGTGGGGTGGGCAGTGAAACTGCTGCTGTGTGAGCGGCTCTGTGAGAGACCGTCTCCGGCTGGCGCTGACAGCAGTTTGTCGTCAGATCATCAGCCGATGACGCCGCGCCAGTCCGCGCCTCCGGCTCTCGACAGCGAGCTAACCGGAACGGCAGATGTGGGTGAAAACTGCACTCTTCCCAGCTCAGTCATGTATTACGCCGCGCGCCGTGTGACGCCGTGTAACGCCGTGTGACGGTGTGTGACGGTGTGTGACGGTGTGTGACGGTGCGTTCTCTCTGTGTTGCAGTGCCCGGCCCCGACCACCGGACGAGCGCGCACTACATCCAGGGCCTGTTCGACCTTCAGCTGACTCGAACGGCGCCTCGGAAGGCCGCTCCAGCCTGTGCCGCCAGCGCGGCGCCGGCGCGCTCACCAGCAGGGTCGCCGGATAAACCGTGAGTGGCCTCCCCCGCCCCCGCCCCGCCCCCGCCCACACGACTCCTCACCGACACACTCTGATGCGGGAAGACGGAGAAAAGACGTGCTCCAGATATCGGCCGGAGCTGGGAGTGGGCTCTGTTCCGGCGTGTTGAGTAACTGCCCAGTGGGCTCCGCTCGGCCGCCTGCCGCGCGGCTGTTTGACCACGCTCGGAGTGGGATGGATGGCCGGTTGTAGAGCACTGACGCAGTGGGGGTGGCACACACTTTGGGCGCACGGGAGAGTCGGTGTGTGCAGCGTCACGGCCAATGGTCGGCACACAGACTCGGCCTTCGGGCTGGTCAGCGGGGCTCACTGAGACTCTGCGGCGGCTTACGGCGTGTCTCTGTCGGTCCAAAGTTCGTACCTGCGCTGGTAGACGGCTCCCTCCACTGTTCACGTGGCTTCCTCTGCACTTTCCACTCTGCCTATGCGGCAATTCACTATTTCTTTTCGCTTTCCTCGACAAGCCTTACCCGTGAATCAGTGCGAAATTTAGTGCACCGCCTCTGTAATCTGTCACCGCCGCTGTGTATGCCCAGCCCGCAAATTCCTGGCCGTTCCAGTTCATCCTTGCAGCGTCTCTGACTCATGGTCATTGGTCAGTCCTCGGTACGGCTGGACAAGTCCGTCTCCATGCTGTCTGCAGTACTCAGTCTCGGCAGACCGCGCGGTCCCATTGTTCGGTAAACAGTGGCTCTGTCGCCGGCCGCTGTCGGTCCGCCCGCGGCGGTCTCTTGGTCTCTGTGGTCCCGACTGGTGGTCCGTGTGGTCCAGCTGGCGACAGTCACGGTCCGCCGCTACCCCGCCGCCGTGTATCGATTTCCCGTGCCGCAATACACACAGCTGCAGCACATGGCCCCCGCCGCCCCCGCCGCCGCCCCGGCCAGGCGCTGGGGGTCCGCGGGTCACATACCGTGCACTGACGGTGCACAGTGGCCCATGCACGGTGCACTCACAGAGGCGCCGAGCCGACTCCAGTTGCAGCGGCTCGCGGTGACATCAGCGTCCCCGCCCGCCGCTGATGAGCGCTCTGACTGGGCAGAAGCCGACTGAGGTCACCCATATGGATCCTGACACTGGCCAGAAGCCGCCGGGGTCACCCATGGAGCCGCCGCTGACTACCGACTGCCACTGCGCTGCTGCAAACCCGCGGCCTGTTATTAGATAACAACAGACCAGGCTCGCTGCCAGCAGTGGGTGATTTGGCACTGCTATTACAGTAACGGTATGCAAGTCGTTAGTATTGAAAGGCTCGCTATTTATATGTCAAGGAATGATTTAAATGACGCCGGTCAATATCCGTGCCACATTTGAACAGTAGCTCTTCTGTAACGGTCAGAGTATGTGTCCCTGACCCAGGGGAGGTTCAGATCAGTTAATGGGACCACTACTGAACTGAGATAGACTGGGTGAGAGGTGATGGCAGGTGACCCAAAAGGGGTGAGGGGACGCTACCAGTCGCCGAGAATCTTATGCTTTCTGGACTGGCACAATCGCTATCGACACAAACAATAATATCGACACAAACAGAGCATACAGAGCCGGCCCGCCGTACCCGCTCCTCGCCCCCCCCCCCCCTCGGCCGGCTGTGGGTCCGTCCGACCGGGCCACCCACCCCGCTAATGGCCTGACAGCCACCACCTGTGCTAACCGGGGGAGTGAGAGCGGCACGCGGCCCGGCCGGGATGGCGGCGCTCGATATACGGGGAGCGGGCGGCAGCGGCGGCGCCAGGGAACCTGGGCGGGGCTGCGTCGGCACATACTGAGTGGCGAACTTCCGAGCTAATTATCAAACTCTCCCTGCCTTATATCGATCCGCTTCTGTATCGACATAACATCCTCCCCGCCGCCGTCGACTCGCTACTCTGGATACGCCCGTGGCAGGTGTGTATTGTGCGCCCCTTCCCTCCCGGGCCAGTCGGGTGCCGCTGCCGGGACCTGTTGACGAGTGCGGGCGGCGGGGAGGGCCGGCGGACCGACCGGGAGAGGACGGCAGAGGACGGCAGTCTGTGCTGGTGTAGGGGTGGTGAGGCTGTGCCAGTAGTCCTGGCGGTGCCAGTGGTGGGGCTGTGGAGTAAATATGCAGCGATACGGGTGAGTGGTAGCGCCAAATGCTGTTTAGAAAACAGTATGCCTGTGTGAGAAGGCGAGATCGAAGCCTGACGCACTACTGCGGGTACAGCGCATTCTCAGACGTTTGTTTGAAGTTTGCTGTCAAACTCAGCTACTGTGTTTTGGTGGCTGGCTGGGGTGATTGCCCCGGCCTTAATGCTTTTCACATGCTGATACCGGCGCTATGCGTCATAGTTTATCGGTGCTTCCTAGACACATTAAATCAACATATTCATAGCCGTATTGCAGCGCGTTTTGGCGTGATCAGTCAAGTCAATACGCTGTGACTCAGAGCGTATTCATGTACTCATGAATGAGTCATGGTTCGGTGGAGTTGGAACAAAGGTTGAGATCGGTCCCGCGGCGGTCCACCAACGGGTCTCCCTGCGTGACCGGCTCTTCTCGACCCGCAGGCAGCGCCGCCGCCGCTCTGCACGTTTTCCCCATCGGTCGAGTCCCCGCCCACCGCTCGCAATCACTCGCAATCCTATTGAAATCGTTATATTGCAGTATTGCGTCGGCAGTTGTCATTTTGCAATTCATAGTAGACTACGATCCAGAGCAGTTATGCATATTGCCTTTAGTAATCGTTTACGAAACGTCGCGCAATCGATATCGTCCCTGTAATGGTCTCCAATATATCTGAAACTGAAGGCAGCGGGAGTACGAGTATTTTCTGACTGTTGTTGGGTCTCCCTGTCGTGTGTCTGACTGCTGCTGCCGTGTCTCTGACCGTCTCCACTTTGTCTCGGCAGGTCTCCCGAGACATCTCCGTTGCGACCCGATTCGGCCTACTTCACCACGTCGGCGTCCAAGGCCAAGTTCCTGACGCAGTACGGACGCGACGTCTCTGCCGACCAGAGCCTCAAGAACGTACACAACGTCGAGGAGGTCAAACGGCAAAAGGTACGGGCTCGAGCAAGGGTTACTAGGGAGGGGATGGATGACGCGACTACTCACGCCTGACTGCCAGAGCGTGATGTTTTACTGGAGTGTTGATAAACGGCAATAGAAAATTGTGGCTTTAACCGAAATTTACGTGAGTAACTCCTTTCACTCAATATTGCGATGCTGGCAAAATATGTGTCTTCTTTGTATGCATCCCACGTGGAGCTCGGAGCAGCTGCTACGCGGAATGCCTCTCAATGTGGGACCCGCTGTCTTTCAGTGATTTAGTGCGTTCATTTTTTGTTCTAATCCTGATTAATTGGATAATTAGTCTCTGGGTGATTTTACAATTCCACGGTGGCTGACGTTAAAAACGATCATTTGCCGGCTTACTGGATCGGCGAAGCTGTTTGTATCTCGACTGGAACGCACGGGGTGACTGCAAACTTGCGTCAGAGTTCCACGGAAAAGCGGGTGCGTTTCGGTAGAGCACGCCCCATCAATAATGTTCCGAGCTGCTCGGGAGCGGCGCGTGGGGACGGGCGGCTGCTGACGGCGGCCTTCGCTGCTGCCGCCCCCAGTCCGATCACTGGTCAATGCCCCCGCGAAACGACCCCTCATTGTGTGCGCGCACTCCAGCGTTAAAGCCGCACAGCGCGGCCCGTCTCACGGCCCACGGTCTGGAGACGCGTGAACGCCCCCAGCTGAACCGTAAAAACTGCTACATATCCCCGCCGTGTCTGCGCTGTACGTGCCCTCCCCGTGCTAACGCTGACCGTCTTCCTCCCGACAGGAGGAGCTGGCTGCGCGCATTTCGCGGAAGCTGGACATCCTGCGTGCCGAGCAGCAGGCCGTGCGGCAGGAGATTGAGACGAACGTGACGCTGGGCGCGGCCGTCTGGGCGCGCGTCGAGCAGCTGGCGCAGCCGGCAGAGGCCGACAAGTACTCGACCTACGTGGAGCAGATCGGCACAATCACCAGCCTGCTGCTGGGCCTCAGCGGCCGGCTGGCGCGCGCCGAGAACGCGCTCGGCTCGCTCGGCGAACAGGACGTCGACGAGCGGGTGAGTGGTGTGACGTCACTGTGACGTCACAACCGTGTTTGTCGGCCGGCGAGCCGGCGCCCCTCCCTCCCTGACGGATCGAGGGTGATCCGGCGCCGGGCGGCAGGATTAGCCGTGTCCAGGCTGTCGTCACCGGACCGGCCCCGCGTCCTCTCACCTCCGCTCCCGTCCTCTCTCCTCCGCTCCCGTCCTCTCACCTCACCTCCGCTCCCGTCCTCTCTCGTCAGCTCCGGTCCTCGGCTCCGTAACCCCGCCCCGCTCTGCAGCAGAGGGTTGTTTTGAAAGTGGAGCAGTGCTTTGGTGAAAGGAGTGGGGCTAAACAATGCGTCGTAAGTCGGGCTGAAGTGTGTAGTCCGTTCGGCTTGTGCCTGTGGTCTGTTTGTTCGTTTTAGCAGTCATACTGTTGTGCTGCCGAAATGTTAAACTGGATCACCGACTGACTTTTTCCTGTGCCTTTCAGGCGAACCTGACCAGCAAGCGGGACAAGCTGTCGGAGCAGCTGGAGGAGGCGCGGAAGCTGAAGCTGAACATCGACCGTCGCAGTCAGCAGGTGAACGTGTTCCTGCAGCACTACCTGAGCTCGGACGAGTACGCCGACTACCAGCACTTCATCCAGATGAAGGCCAAGCTGATCATGGACTCGCGAGAGATCGACGACAAGCTGCGGCTGGGTGAGGAGCAGCTGGCCGCGCTCAGCCAGACGTGACTGGCGGCGCCGGCCGCGGCACGACGCCAGTGCCACCTACCGAGTGATACCGCAACTGCTGCTGCGCCGGCCCGCCGGCAGCTGTCGCGCTGTGTGTGATACGCCGCCCGGCCCGGCCCGGGTCGGCACCGGCCCCACAACGACGGACGACTATTTAACTGTCCACCCATACCTAGTGAGGCATTTATTTCCAGAGACCTTTTTATCCCTGAATGACTTGTCTCTCCTGTGCGCGTGTTTGTGTGCGTGGCTGTGTGAGTGCGCGAGTGCGCCATTCTGCGTCAGGTGAATCTCTATGAGCTCTGTCCGCGATATATGTCGGCGAAGAGGGCCCGATGACTGGCCAAGCCACTGTGTACTTTGCAATATGTCCGCCGTTCGGCCCGCCCGATGTAAGACGATCATTGTGTGTTGTACATAGAACACATGTTCGCTAATGCTGTGCTTCCAGTGCCCGTGCTGCATATAGGAAGGATATGTGCCAGAATGTACTGTTGTTATACCTAGCCTAGGTCAATGAGCTTTCCAATCGTGCGCGTGCGCGTAATTTGGCCTTATCGGAGACGGCCGGGGTGGGGGCGGGCTGCCGGGCGAGTGCTGGGGTCCCGTTCCCCGTGGTCAGAATATCAGTATATTGTACCAGGTGTAAATTGTTAATAAACTATTGCCATGCAATCCATTTATCTGCTGTGGGATTCCGGGGAACGGACTCGTGGGTATGTGACTGGCGACTGGACCACGCACGATCAGGCAAGCAGACGCTCCCCCCGAACTTCATTTGTTCTAAGGCATCACTGCACTCTATCGCTGGTTCCGCCGGGCTCTAGCGCTCAAAGACCTGCAGCATTGCACGTGCACAACTCCGCACTCCTACAGACAGTCCAGCACACAAGACTGCACTTCTCACCCATACACTAGGCCGCAAGTGCGCATCATGTAGAGCACATTTGCGCGGAGCTTTGGTCAGCTTCCTTACGGCTATCCACCGGTACCCGGTCCGGCTGCTGGTGACACTGGCGATCTCCCCGACTGGAGCCAATCACTGCTGCCGAGCAGCTACCATCTGGCCGCCGCGGTGGTCACGGTGGGGACCGCTCCGGGACGCCGCCCCGTGTACCGCCGTGACCCGTGACCGTGCCGCTGCCGGTCACCGCGTCACGTGACCTCACTGACCACTGACCAGTCAGTCACCTCCCCCTCTCGTTGGGACAGGCGCTTGCTGGCGGCAGCAGGCTCTCTGGAGTCTGGACTTTATTCTGCTGTGTAAACGTTCAAAGGCCCAAGTTCAGTGCTGAAAAGCCTCTCAGGTCTGTGTTGAGGGGCTGGAACTTATTGTTATTAGGAACTGACACTGCTTAATGATAAGGTACGTAATAATTAGGCAATTTGGTAATAATAATTAGGTAGCTGACTCTACTACTACCGAGAGGGGGCCGCAGTTCTTGTAACCAGGCGAATGCAAAAATATTGCCAGTGCCGGTGAACGTTGGAACTATATTCCGTTTACTGCATCTCGTAATGCTGAATGTGCCCTTGACATAAAAATAAGCGTCAACATGAAACAGCGGTTCAGCGGTGCAGCACATTCACAAAATGCATTCTCTTGTCCCTTTTATGCTCACAAATCTGAACTAAAATGAGAAGTAAAGAAAGAGGGAAAATAATGATGCTTTTTCGTGTCATATTTCATCACTAAAGGTAGGAGTCTCAGATGTAGCTGGGGAGGCCACGAATCACTTATCACTGACACGCTGGTGTGATCTTGCGTCATCGTTTCACCACGTGTGGTCCTCTGAGACTGGCGGACAGCGAACACGACTATGGTCGGGCTGACACGCGCTATACGCTCTCCGACTCAGGACACATCTGTCCAAAAAAGCCGACCGAGAAACGAGCGTCACTTTCGCGGAACGAACGCACTCGGTGATAACCGCCTACCGGTCCCTATCGCGCTGTGATCTCAAACGAGCTGCAGTGTAAACGTGATTTACGTGTTCCGGATCATCTGTGGAGTGAGATTGATCATATCTCGACGCTCAATCTTGACCGTTTTAGAGCCAGGCTTTATGTCTCAGCTCTAATCGTGTCACCAAATAACAAGTTTTGCAATGCCTTTTACTTTTAGGATGATGCAACTCATTACTAAATATGTCCTGGGTGAAATCTGAAAGACATGGGTCGGGTTGACACTGCCGCCCATTAATTAGGATTATCATATTTCATCTTATGTGTTCGGTAATGTTATATTGGACTATTGCTATTTTACGTTGCAAATGGACGAACTATTAGTTTGGCCCATATCCGCCAGATGTCGTCTACGTCTGGCAGCGCCGCACCTGGGAAGTATGAGCCCGTGGGACATGGTCCGAATGGAGTCGATGAACCGATCGACCGGTAGGTAGGTATGCACTACACATCAGGCTACCAGCCCGCCGCCCGCGTCAGTAAGGTACAATCGATCGTATAGTCCTAGAACGAAATTAATAGTTTGTCGAACGACCTGGAGCACTGAGCATTTACAGCTAGGTAGGTCCCCGTCAGTTCAGTAAAATGTTCAGTGATCAGTGATCATTTCCATAGCCTGAATGCTAATGATGGTTGCCGATTAAACTACTATTTGCAATAGAGCATGTTATGTTTTAAACAAAAATCCTGTACCTATTTAATCGGCAGTTAGTCACTGCAGGCCTACCTCTACCAAAAAGAACACATGGATATCAACAGTTCAGAGCTGCCGCCCTCTGACCTACAAAGCATGCGTTTTCAGTGCGATGGTCTGCACCTCAGACCAATCGACACCTCCATCCGCGAAAACAGATGGCCATTACGAACACATCCTCAGCCGCCGTGTTCGAACGGCGGGATTACGCTTGTAAACAAAGCGTTATGGCCGGCTGAATGCAGTATGACGTCACGCGCATAATGTGACCGTCCATCAGATCCGGTCGTCACGACCCGTGTCTGCACTCGTGACCAGCGGGACTCGGCTCGTTACGGTACGAGTCAAAGAGAGGCTAGCCGGGGTCTCGGTACGGAACGAGTCCAACAGAGGTTACGGGACGATTCCAACAAACGATAGCCGGGGACTCGGCTCGGGAAGAGTCCAACAGAGGTTAGCAAATGGACTCGGTGCCGTGCCGAGTCCAACAGAGGCTACCCGGGGTCTCTACGGCACCTATATTCCTACCAGTCCACTGTACGGTTTCATGGCACCTGGGTGATCCCAGACACCTGCCGAGTCTCTGCACGGTTCTGATGACTTTCTTCAGGAGGCGCCCGGTCTGATAGGATCTGTGTCTAATTGGTCCATCACAGGAGGGGCAGTCTGCAGAGATTGTATCGTGAACCGCGCTCGGCAGCGCCACTACAGCACTGTAATACAGGAATACGGACGACATGGAGCCTGCACTGCATCCTAACGGCGAATCTAGGCTGGGCCGTACTGCTGGTCGTTAGCCTCCCGAGGCCCTGATCACTTTAATATTCGAATTTCCCCGACTGGACGCTCTACCATACACCATTAGATCTGCGGCCACAAAATCTGCATAATACCGGCTGAACAAAAATGTCGCTTTATGGCTGCCAGTGACGGTTAGGCTAAATGAATGATGTTTCTCAAATCGGAGACCACCTGAACCTAATTTCTTAATGAATATGCAAAAGTTATTATGTCATTAAAATGCTTCTCTGTTCAGCGCCTAAACTGCTCAGACACTAAAACGCAAACAATATCTACAAAAGCTTAAGCAACCATTACTTGGTTTTGTCATTTAAAGGGACCCTCCCACCTTAACATAAGTTTTGAGTTGAGATAGCCAAGTTTGCGGCCAGGCTCAGAAACCACCATTTATCCTGGTCGCAACCCCCGCAGCTTTATGGTGTTCAAGAAATTTCTTCCCTTTACTTGCAGGGTGGGACCAGCGTGGTCCCTATCTCTTAACCATTACGGGAATCTGATGACGTCATCAGGCTTTCGAACGTCCCTTAAATGTTTGACTAAAACGTTTTGTAGCACGCGGTGGTATATGCTGCTTTGCGCGCAACAAATGCCGCACTTTCAAATAAAGTCGCTAGGAACAGCGGAGATCCCAAAAAGTAAACAAAAGTAAAAGTCTAATATCTTGAAAACCGGTGAATATTTTTCGATGAAATTTGGTAGATATTCGTTTTTGCTCTTTCTGAACCGAGCGGCATCACTTTCATGCCAATTCATTAACTTTTTTGAAGGTGGGAGGGTCCCTTTAACCCTATTAGTGGCAGGGCAAAAACACCCAAGGGGGTGTTTTTATCCACCCCTCAGGTTTTTCGGGAATATCTCCGAAACCGCTGAAGCTACGATGCTGAAATTTTCTGACTTTTCCTAAAACTAAATTGGGCACATTCCCTGAAAATTTCAAGTTCATAACTTTACCAGGGGCGGCTCCAGAGCACTGGGAATTGGGGGGTCCTATTCGTGAAGCGAGTCATTTGGGCGAAGATCACGATGCTGCACCAGTTTTACGAACAGTGAATGAGAGGTATCATGTGATAACATATACAAAGTTATTGTGCATCCTCTTTTGACACGTTTTTGCTATAATAGGCGGATCCAGGCGTCCAAAAAGGGGGGTTATTTTTACCTCCCAACATAGGTGCCCTGACACCGCCTATGCATGACCAATACAATTTTAGTCGTTCTCTCATAAGAAAATTGTAACATAACAAGACCATTGCCACCCTTTTTAGAAACAGTACCAACAAAAACCTTATTTACTATACTTTTTGTGTACCCCCAATCTCAATGATCTGTATCCGCCTATGATTTTTGAAAATGCATATTTTTAGGATCCATGTGAATTCCTGGTTCATTCTCTATCGATCGGCAAAAGTTGCGTTAAGATTGGTTCAGAAACCTGGCCGTGATAAACAGTCTAAAATGTATCTGCAATTTGCCCGTTTTTACCCCCCTCTACCCCCCTAATGACATTTTTTTATTTTATTTTTTTTAGAAATGTAGATCTCGTTGAGCCAAATCGAATGCCGTTTGGATTTTGAAAATGTGCCGGTTAGATCTCGAGATATCAAGGGGGGGGGTCGTAAACAGCCCCCCCTGCCACTAATATGGGGTAGCCAGGAGCCTGCCACTAATAGGGTTAACTCTTACAAATGCAACAATAAACTTATAGCAGTAGCCCACCGAAGCTATCGGGTAGTAAGCCGACCCAGGCCCCGCTGACCCAGGCAGGTGGCGCACGCTACTCAAATCCCCTGAGGTCACGGACCTCGTCAGATTCAAGTCTGAGGTCAAGGTGGTCTTTCGTTCATTCCACAATTACCTTGCAGTTGACGTCTCTGCTCAAAGTGGTCCTTGGTCTGTAGTTGTGCGTCTGTCACCCCTCCACCCGCCTTCCACCGACTTTAGGATCACACAAGTGAGGACCAGGTGACCATTTTGCTTCTTCCCTGACCCCCTATATTGGGACGCGGTGACCGTTACGCCTCTCTGACCCCCGATGGTGACGGAGACACCGTTACTTACGCCTCTCCCCTGACCCGGCTCGTTAAACACCTCGTTATAGCTCCCGCCCTCGGCTGCGGCCTGCGGCTGCGACTCGGTTCGGTTTATTGGCTCCTGTGTAGACCAACTTCTCACCACTGGGAGCTAACCGCCTCTGCGGCGGTTTTCTTCCAGCCAC